ACACACACACACACACACACACACACACACACACACACACACACACACACACACACACACACACACACACACACAAGAGGTTTTATGTCCATTACGCGATTTTATTCCGGTAGGAATTTACGTTTACTATGGTTAGTTGGGCTCTTTATTGCTCTTCCTGTCACGTTAAAATTGGCGTCATTACTGTACTCTGACCTGAATGATTCAGAGTAATTTACATCGACATACAAAGAAAATTTCTATTTTTTTAGCACCTATCGTTAAAATGGGTCAGTCAGACTTGAGAACGAGCGATCAACGACAAATAATTGGCAACTACTGAAGCTCTAGGCATTTAAAGCTGCTGAACTGATGAAACGTCCTGATAAAAATCAAGGTGCTCATTTTATCCGCTGACACGAAGAGACTCTTAACCGGCTTCCCTTTAGGGACTCGCTAATTAATCAGTAGCTGCACATCAGGTGCATTTTTTATTAGTGCCATATAGAAGACAACGACAGTCGTATCCACTCATCTTTCTTGTAGGTTAATTGCTTAAGTTAATAGGTTTGAGATGATAGTAAATTATAAAGGTTTGAATCATTTGGCTGGTTGAAGTAAGGTAGTTCATGCTGCTTTTATGTCCATATATTCAGTCGCATAAGACTTCAAGTTACATAAGTGAATTATACACAAAAACACGCGTGGAATTTTCAACAAACTTCGAGAGTTTTTGCGTTTTCTTTTTTTCGTTTGTTTTCAGGTGATAATGTTGTTAATTTTTTATTTTGCAACATATGAACTTAATCCCAAGTTTCTTAAGCTATTGTGTTCTTCTAATTGATGAAGAAAACTGAAATACAAACCAAACAATATTTATCGTTGTTCTGGGGAAAGTCGCCGGATATGTGACAATGTTTTCCAAACAAAAGATACTATGAAACTGAAAATGTTAATGAATTGTAAGAATAATTAAAAAAATAAGTTTGTGTTTTTACTGCCTGATATAAAACTTCTATCATTGGTCAAATCCTCTCAGTCTGCAATAGTTCCCCCTGTAACTCGGCGGTAAGCTTCAAGACTTATAACGCTAGAAGTCGAGCTCGATCCCTGAGGCAGACATAGTGCAGGTTGTCCATTGCGCAGCTTTGCGCTAAAACAAACTATATGAATTCATAATATATGTACTAACAAGTTTATATAAATCTTATTTCTTTGTGTTTTTGAAAATGATTTGCAAAATCTCTTTTAAAGCATTTATTGAAAATCTTAAACATATTTTACTTGTGTGTACATGAACGACATGCCTTTTTGCACACTCCAATTTGCTCTTCCCAAAACAACAAATAAGAAAAATGAAATGACGTGTTCATTATTTTTTCACTACAAGTAAACACTTTGCAAAATGAAAATAAAACTTTCATGTACTAGAATATAATATGGTTTCATTGTTGTGTTTCTCAAACCAAACTACGATTGGCAGAACGCAGAACGATTAGCAAAGTGTCGAGTGAAAAATCAAAATGGTATCTTAAATATGCTTATATTAAAACATCCAGGAGTTTTTTTTTTATTAGAGACGATACGAACTTGTTATATAAAGATCGTCAACTACAAGTTGAAATAAAGTACAAGGGCCATTTAAGATCTCGGCTTGTAATACATTAGGTAAAAAGCAACTCGCGTGGTAGTTGTGCATGTATAAAACAAAATAACATTGTGTCTTTTTTAACAAACAAGGGGAGATCAATGTTTAAGGAAATTGTTCGATATCTTGAATTCAATATTATCATGATGACGATTAAGTCGTGATGAAAGTATATTCATCTGAAAAAAGTTATCAAAAACTGTAATCATTAATTTATTGTATACAAGGCAAATGTTAAGTGTTAACTTGGATGATTATACACCCCACATCTAGATGACCGGTCAAACATTATTCCTGAGATTTCATTTTAAAAGTCAGGTCACAAATTTGCCAAAATATCCTGTTAACCGTCTTTTCCTTTTAGGTTTTTATTTGCGAAAGGCAAAGTCGCTATAGAATGTCGTTTTGTTAATATCTAGTTGTTTGAGGGTTTTTGTTTTGTGAGATCTAATATTAAGTTAATATTAAATGAAATGTATTTTCTTGTATATACTTTTTAACCACTCGTCATCTTCTGTCAAACTTAATGTATTTCGAGCTGAACTGCGTGGACGTTATAGTTGAAGTGCCAAGAAGTAAGAGATACAAGGTGATCATAAATAGAGCCTCGTATTCAAAATTATTATATCTTAAAAATTACCTGTCCTAAGGGAACCCGAATTGACCTTCACCAACTGCACACTGAGAATCTTTAGTCGAATTCACGAAAGTTTGGACACACGATACGGTGTTTCATAAAACAGTCATAGAGGGCGTTCACTGTTCTTTTCTGTATTCTCAGTCGGCATGTCAAATTTATCCTTTAATGAAGCTATTGTAAGCATGATCTTTTTTTGGATAGTGCTCACTTATCCTAGCATCAACGTATACACTAGTACATATTCAAATCATCAGTGTTGTGTTGTTAGAGATACAAGAGACATGTAATAAATTCTAATTTGTGAGAAAAGCGACTTGTATATGCATTGTAACATGGTTCTAAAACACCTTGTACCATCTGCAGTCTTTTCGGGATAAAACTTGTATATCCCTGAATGTATAATTTTTGCTTCTCTGGGACAAGTAGTTTTTAAAGATATAATTATCCTAAATTAGGCGAGTTCTTTGTAATCACCCTGCAGAATTTTATATATAAATAGATCAACTTCTAATGTTATTACAGCTTTTTATATATGCACAAATAAGTTTAATAGAACTTTTACCTCTACATCCAAATACTGACAGGTTAATCAGTATTCGCCTCCCCCCAAAATAAAATAAAATAACTAACTAAATAAATGTATTAGCTGTGATCAGTCAAACAAATAATAATAATAATAATTTGATTGAGGGGCTGTCATGGAAGATCATAAATATTAACTTGGATTGATGTCTTCACTGGTATTTGGCGATTCTACGTTTAACCATCAACCATGGGTGGAAAATTATCTGTACACCCATACGGTTGACTATTTCAACGTATTATGGAAATGCCTGGAGCGACAGTTGCGTTAGACCTAATTAACCTGCCCATAGTTCGGAAAACGCGGTCATGCAAACTGTAAGTCATACATTATAATCGCTATGACTGATTTATCGTCCTTTTGATCACGATATTAGGATTTTTAATTAATCTGTTTTAGTAGTCTATATCCTGTTAGTTTAGGAAATTTTGCATTTTATAATTAGGAATGATATGCTTAAAAAATGAAACATTCATGTCGGAACACTGTTTAATACCCAATACGACTTAAACAGTCTAGGTATCGGAAATATTTTTTATTGCAAGTTTTGACCTTTACCAATTAATGCTTTCCTTGAACTTAACTGTACACACCATTAATAGAAACGGTATGAAGATGTCATGGTAACGATTATTAGACAACTTTTATCAGGCAACAAATTACACAAACGATGACTAGTTAGGAAGTGGCATTATTAAAATCGGCAATCAGAACGTATCGAGAAAAGTAGATTAATGGTATACTTTACAGATATGTCAAATTGCTACGTTGATGATTTTTCAGAGACGCTCAGTGCAACTTCAAGAAGAACCAAAATGGCTACCCTGCGATACGTCTATGCTCTAGTTGGTGGGAGTCGGATGTAAGTTTATTCTTTTACGATTGTACAATTATTGTATTAACCATAGCATTATATTATAATATAGTTATTCTTTTATCATTTCCTTTAAGCATTTATAAAGTATTAAATCATAAAATATAAATTCGCGTGAATTGGTCCCAAAGTCGCTAAGCTTTCCAAGAATAACTCTTCTAATGTACACAAAACATTGAATATATTGACTGATATCGCACTCAACACTGTCTTCCGTTTATCAAAAGTGTTGTAAAGATTTTATTTTCCATGATAAGCAACGTCTGGGACACTGAACGTTATGCAAGATATTTATTATAAATGCCGCATTCTATCCACAGCAGCTCACGTTGTGTAAGATGAAAAAAATAATAATTTGTTAAAAGATACTCTTGTTTTAATTTTGCGACACGAGTTAATTTAGATGTTTTACAATGTTGCAAGAATTTAATGGAAACCGACACATTTTTAACTTTTCGTCAAAAGGAGATCCTATCAGAAGCTGGAGTAGAAGAAATTCTTCTGGGTTTGGCATCTCAGATAGCCGAACGCGAAGACCTAGTTTTGTGTTCGGACATAAGAAGTAAGTTTCTTGTTTTTATTGTACATACTGATTAAAATATTGGTAACATTAATATTTTATTAACGTTTCTGATAACATTGTTTCAGAAAAATGTTGTTTTTGTTTAAATTTAGTTTTTTTAAAGTAGTACTGGAATATTATACGGTCATAAAATTTTCTACCGTTGCAGTTAAATGTTATCTAGTTTACATATTCATTTTAATGTTCCACTCTCAACCCTGCATGTAGCCCTCAATAAATCCGAGTAAACTGAGTCAGCTATGCAGAGGTTCTTTTTACACAACGTTGCTTGAGGCCATAAACTCGGATTATCTTACCAAGCTGAAGTCAAGGAGTTTGGTTATAATAACAATTTGTAGGGCTGCATATTATTCGAAGTCAATCATTTAAGCTTTTGTTAAGATTATTAGGTCCTATTTTGCTATTTGTAATGGTAATTGTTGTATGTATAACGCTTTTGATGAAATAAATGAAAGATAAGAAAAGGTAACGCAAGAAATTGAATAGACTTTCCCTAACGTGCGCCGTAATATGGTCGCTGGTGTGAAAAACAAGGTGCCTAACCCATCCTGCAATTTAGTCTCGTTAAGATTGAGTTGACGTCATATAGACGTTGGCCACACCCCATGAATAGTGGGTGGCACAGTATCGCACACATTCCTTTGGAATATACATGCCCAGTTGCATAAGTTCATCGCTATACTGGACTGTTATTCTTTATTCCTAGCAGGAACCACGGGAGTCCGAACCGAAAGTGATGAATGGACACGCACTTATTCTCTCTCTCTTTCTCTCCTAAATGAGTACAAGCGCTCCCTCTGTTGGTGGCTACTTGAATCGAGTAGCCATTACCATACTTCTTTTACGAGGTATGTGGGGCACATCTTGTTTTTTTTGTTGTTGTTGTTGTTGTTTTTCGAGGACTTGTAGGTTTAAGAAATCTGTATTTTCCTATTAGGTGAATCAACATACCTCGTGCCCCTCAGTGTGCGCGCGTGCAAATTTAAAACGAAGTGACCAAACGCAACAAATAGGTTAGTGGCCCAATCACTAGCCCTGTATCATCGTATAACGTACACGATTTAGTATTGCCTCGGGGAAAACCTGAACGATAAGTAAAATGTCGTTTATAGATATATATTAAAAAAAAGTTGCGTTGGACTCAATGAAAACGTTTCGGCTACACGTCTAAGATGTTATCAGAAAGGAAATGAGAAACATATGTCGTAGGTGCCAACCTAGGGAACCCATTTATTACAGTTTGGCTACTTTATAATCATACACTATGAAACATAAACGATTTCAGTTATTATTGTTTTTTATTTAAAGAAAAGGGTCATGGTATAACCTAAATATTTATGTTAGGCCTAATTAATTTTCAAAGTGAAAATTAAAAACGCCGGTATTATTGTATGTCTCTCTCTCACTCACACACACACACACACACACACACACACACACACACACACACACACACACACACACACACACACACACACACTTTAACGAATTTGCTAAGGTATTATTAAGAACATCTGAGTGAAAGTAGAGAATCCAGTGCCGACGAGGCCTTTCGGCTAACACTGGCTACTTGTATTAGTAAATTGCTTGACGATAGCAGTTGCGGTGGGAACTAGATTAATTTGAAGTGTAATTTTTTCATCAATTTCATTTATGTTGCAACACATCAGAATTAGGGCAAGAATTATTTAACACTTTTATTTATTTTAGCACCACGTGTTATTAGTGATTTCTCGATGTTATATCAATTGATTATTGAATATTTTTTACTGTTTTCTTTAAGTGAAGGTAATTAAAGTTTCTTTTCTTTGACAAAAGGTACGCGTTTAATTATTCGAAGTTACCCAAGAATGCGATTTATTCTACTGTGTCGTTTGTGTACCTGAATACTTTAGACACGCTAATACTGAACTTTCTTCTTCATAATATGTGGTTTATACGTTGTTTAATCGATCACAGCTGCAACTTTTTTTTGTACAGACTTTAATTTGACTCTCCAGTATGGATAAAAATCATTTTCGACTCGGACTGACCATCGCGACTCGTTATGTGTTAAATTTGTGACTATTTTTGAATTATAAATACATTATAACTATTATTAAACAGTTTTTCTTTAACACGAAAATTCATCCTTATATTTGTTGTGATATAATCTTAACAAATTATAAAAATGTCATTGTAGCTAAAAACTGATTTTTTTATAGAATGTTAACTATCAAAAGTAATGCTAGACAAGAAAAATGTGTATATAATGATTCTCAATTGTATAGAGTATTTAAAAAAAAAAATGAAACATTTTCTCAAGTTTGTTAATTAATTTCTTTATGCGAATAGTAATTTTCCTGTAATTCTAAAGACGTTACGTTTGCAAAACTATTTATACAGGGGAGACAGGAAATTGAAGAAAAAGAAAATCTAGGAATCCTGTAAATAGTCCGTAATATACAAGCTAACATTTTAATAAATATATTGCATATATTGGGGAAAAAAGATCCCGCTAGACTATCAAATCTATCTTTCCTGGTCTCTTAATAATAATAATAATAATAATAATAAAAATTAATGAATGTGGAATGAAATTACTTAAAGAAATTTAATGTAACTCGTTATAGGACACTCTGAGAAGGAAAAATGCCGAGGGTGCTTTCTTTGTAAAGGTTAAGTGTTTACGTAGATGTGTTGTTTGCTTTTATTTTTCCATGTTTTCACTCTGAAGCTGCTAACTCGATAAAAATTAACACAATCATTTCTGTTTGTGTGTGAAAGAGAGAGTACGTTTATACCATATCTGGACTACTTGATTGCTGCTTTTATGTTTTACTTTCAAATCACAATAGGTAGTAACGAAGGAAAGGCAATTCAACACTTGCCACACGATACTATTTCTAAAACACTGTTTGAAAACCTGGACTTGTACCAGAAACTGCTGTTTACAAAATGAAAATAAGAAACTTGTAACTATATAGAAAAAGAGAGAGAGAGAAAGAAAGAAAGCGTACACTTCATGCCACCCTGAAGCATAGATGTGAGCACAACACGATTCTCTCGTTAATAAAATATTGTTATGCAGTTCATTCCAAGTTAAGAAATCTTGTCTTTGTGCCCAAAGGGCTACAGAAGCTCGCTTTAAGGAGATGTGACACGCTTTTTTTTCTATGTTGTACTTTCTATCATTATCTTTTTAGCCGTTTTTCATCCTAAAGTCACGATGTAATAAAACATGTGAAGTTTCTTTTGGGGGGGAACGAAAAGTCAAGACATTTTCATAATTGATGTGACAAGACAGTCGTTGGTTAGAGTGAACTTATGAATACAAATATACGAGAGTTTCCTGATGCCCAGAAAAATTGTGATTGGAAATGTTAGTGTGAATGTGTATAAATAAATATAACCTTTAATACGTCAGGGAAGGTTAATCCTAAGAAGAACCGAAAGGATAAAAAGCTAGGGAAAAAAAAAACATTCTGAAATTTTGAGGATTTGTGCATATGTTATGTCTATATTTTTGGGTATGTTTCTCACGTAAAGTTGAACTGCACGTTAGTGATCCGGTTGATTTTTGGAGCATAATGATGAACTGTAGTTTTTTTTTAAGGTTTTTTTTCCGAAAACAAAAACTAACTGAACGAGCTAGAATGAAAATGTATGAAAACCTATTTCTTTTTTTAAAACCATCTATACCATTGTTTCCATACATATACAGCATAATTGATGAGTCCCCACCAAAACAATATATTCCTTTCATTATCTCCATCATAACTATATAATTATTTCAATTATTAAGTTGTCCAAATTATAAATCAAGTAAATTAATAAGAAACCAATTAGCTTCGTATGCTGGTAAATTATTACAAACTAGTTGGCCTGCCTGACCCGTAGAATTCCCTTTGCTTCATTCACTACGCAATTAGTATATTCTGTTTAGATTGTCAAATTATTCTGGTATGATAGTTACCTTTTTAAGATTCTTTCTCAAATCATTTGTTTTTTTGTGAACGTCTGACCAGACAATAGTATACAAAGCTATACATGTAATAACATCGTTACGTTAAAATAAATATATATATATATATATATATATATATATATATAAAACATAATGCTTAAAAACATTAAGCGTCATTATGATAAAAAAAAACAAAAAAAAAAAACGCTGAATGATCGCAGACTAAAAACTAGTTAGCCTTAATTTGTTTTTCAGAATAAAACTATAATGAATAAATAAGAACTAACTCTTTGTTTTAGCGCTGTCTGCGCTTTATTTACTACGTAGAATCGAACTCCGGATTTTATCGTTGTAAGTTAATGAATTTATCGCTGACTTACTGCTGATAATGTGTAACGCTATTCCGTAAACTTTGATTTAGTTACGCAAGTTAATGTTGTTGATAATACCTCTGGAAATTTATAAGTGCAATTTAATGTTTTTCGCAAGTCTAACAGTCGTTTTTCATGTGTGTATTTGCAGATAACTTATTCGGCCCAATGGACTTCACTCGTATGGACCTAGGAGCACTGAACATCATGCGAGGCCGAGACAATGGAATACCAGATTATAATAGAGTTCGTAAATGTTACCATTTGCCCATGGTATCGAACTGGACGGACATTAACCCGGCCTTTTATAGCGAACAACCAGAGGTAAAGTTTGTGCGTGTTTTTAAAAAAAAATATCTGTCTTCTTTATCGGAAGTGTAAGAACTGTTGCCATCGTTATCCTTAATATAAAGTTTAAAATGTATATTTTTAATATAATTCCAAAATCTGAGGGACAAGAGGAAGAGAAGGAAGTAATTCTGGAGATCGGAAACAACAACAATACGAGTAATATCGAAAATATATGTTTTTATATAACATTTTCTAATTTCCATGTTCCTTGTTTTAATGTAAACGGACTAATACATATTTCTTTTCAAGTAATAATGCTTAATTTAAATATCTTTGATATCCTCTTTCATTTTAAGTGATGGTCATTCACCATTTTCTTTCATAGTGACAACTTTATATACTTCACGATTACACATATTGACTATAAATTTACCAAGTAAGAGTCCTTCTTTAATACGTGTTCACATGTGTATATTTATTTATGATGTTAACTTATTGATTCTTTCATAATGCGAAATAATTTATATAACATGTTTCAAGTACCACATTAAATAAAATGTATACATGTAAGTATATTTAGATAATGAATGTGTATATGTTTTAGGCCTACAGAGAACCAAAAAAAATACCACATTTTATGGTAGCCCAGTATTAAACGGATTACTTTTAATCCCTAAATATTATCACATATCTGTGTTTTTAAAATGATTAGCAATGGATCAACTTGTAGTGCGTGAAAGATGCATGACTATTAACATTTTACTAAACAACGCAAAGTAAAAAAAAAAAAATTCATAAAGTAGTACTGAAAAGTAAAATATTTTGATTTAAAAAAGTGTATGCATGTGTGCCCTAAGCAAACATGGAATCTGTCTAGACCCGCCGTGTTGTGTTGCTGAACTAAATCGATTGAACTAAATTATCCCCTATATATTCCAATCGATTTGTAACATTTTGTAGACCTTTATAAACACAAGTACATGGGCGTCGCCAAGAATTTCGGAAGGTAGGGGTCGTTTCTGAAATCAACAAGTCATGTAAGCCTTGTAGCAGTCCAGTATATGGTTCTCAGCAAGGTTCATGTTAGAACAGTGAAAAACCCATTAGCCGATGAAAAAGGTTATGAAAGACGTTTTGTAGCATTTGATTTAATTTTCCGTGATCCACTAAAATGAACCTAGCGACGCCCATGATTTATTATTATTTTACATGTATGTAATATTAGTTTCAACGGTCAGAATTTTGTTAGTGTAAAATTAATGTGTACATTTTCTTCTGGACCAGCTGTTTGACAAACTCTCCAACTTGTATGGAAGTGTGAACAACATCGACTTGTACGTAGGTGGGATGCTTGAGACACATGATGGAAAACCTGGTCCACTTTTCCAAAAGATCATCAAACAACAATTTGAGCGGCTTAGAGATGCTGACCGATTTTGGTTTGAATATGACGGAAACGGGTAAGAAAGTCACGCCCATTTACAAAGCGGTGTAGTTTGAGTTCATTGGGAAAATCTGATTTGCTTAATTCGTCCTAAACCCTACACGATGACGTAAAATATCTGGAATAACTCGGACACTATTTGTGATATTAATTCAATGTTTTGATTTCCAGAGTTGTGAGTTAGGCGAGTATAATAAATAGTATATTATAGTTAATCATTATATGCACTAACCTTATGAAATTATAGTTAAACCCAGGTAATAAGCTCGTAAACTTAAAATAAGGGTAAAGCAATGATTAAAGCTCTAAAAAAAATCAAGAACGTTGATCAAAATTTCTGCATCTTAAGCTTAGAAGCCAAAGAAAGTGTTCAACAGTTGTTTACCGTAAAACAAGAACCGTGAATAGATCATTAATAGAGTACATTCATGTTATGAAATCAGTTTTCATAGCGAATGTTATATGATAACTTGAATAATACTCCGAACATACAGAACTTTTATTTTGTAACTATAAATCTGATATCAATTCAAAAGCTTAATCGTATCATGTTCTTGCAAACCAAAAACTAGGATTTTTACAAATGAAGAAATCGAAGAAATCCGGAAAATCCGACTTTATGATATCCTGATTACGGCCACCGATATTCATCCTGGAGCTGTACAGGAAGATGTCTTCATCTGGAAGGAAGGTCAGATCAACTTGAAGTTAACTTTCTTATATTTTCTTTTGCTACTTTTTTTTCAGTCTCCTTCTAGAGAATTAACATGTTGGCTGCCACACAATAAATTAGGTATAAATAAAATTAAACATTCACAAGGTGCCGAGGAGCAGTCAGTCTCCAAAACTCGTATGTCACAAGATAAATTTGGCTTTGAAACAGAATTGTCTGTGACCTACCGGCGTATCATGCGGTATATAACTAAAAGTCAATTGTGACCCACTGGTTGGGCACATGGCAGCTAACGTGTTAATAGAGGTAAACATGTTGGTGTTTTATGTGTAAACAATAAATAAAGAACAAAAGAAATTCAAATAATGTAACTGATCAACTAATTAGGAGTTGCTTTCATAGGATATAATTCAGTTAAGTAGAGGTTTAACAAGCAGAATCTGTACCAACACACAAACTTTCATAGGATCTTAAGTTCGTTGAATTGTGAAGATTACTCTTCTAATTCCACCCACCATCAGTCTTACGGCGTAGAAATATTGTTTGAAATGTAGTAGTTATAATAAATTAAATAAATAAAATAGGCCTAATGCATATTAGATACCATTGTTCAGAAGAGCATTATGCGGCGGGCAGATAAATATATACAGGATTTTTATTTTCTACTCGGTTATGTTGAGTAATGACTTTCCACCATTTAAGTGAACTGATATACAAAATCAAAACCAAAATAACTAAACACGCACGTGTAACTCCTAGGAGTTAACACCTCGCACTGATTAATACGTGGAGAGAGGAACTACACACACAGTTCATTGTATTGAATGAATGTTTCGGTTGTGAGGCGACAAAAATGTAGTAAATTAAAACAGGATTAAGGCAGGAGATAACCACTTGAAGACCGACCTTGAAGGTCTTAATGCGCTAAAAAGGTGAAAATCGGGTAATGATTATCAGATCAAGTCAAAATGGCTTTTAAAGCATCAACAAAAATAATCTTTTTGTTATTCGATTTCAACTGTAATTATTTGTTTTGATTTCATTTTATTGCAGGTAGTCCATGTCCGCAACCAATGCAACTAAACAGCACTGTTTTGGAGCCGTGCATAGTCCTTGCTGGATACGACTATTTTAGTGGTAACGAAGTAGCCTACATCTATTCTTGCCTCACGCTGGCCTTCATTCCCATAAGTAAGTAGGATAATCAAATAATTTAAAAGCTAAATGGAGTAAATTACATAAAGACTCTGAGTGTCAGGACTCTGGTGGGTAAAACGTTTGAATGACACAAACTGTCGTATAACCATACAATGTGTTATGCCTTTTCGTATCTTATTTGTATTTTGAAAGAAGTTTTTGGTAACAATAGGTAATGTTGCTGTTTATCTGTTTCCCAAATATATGTGTAGTAATTGTTTTATTGAAGCACCCATAAGTTGTGAGAATTTGATTTGCAGAATATGAAGATCAAATTTGAGTTTTAGTAAAAATAACACGAATAACATGCATGTAGTTTCGAGAAACAATAAAGATTTCAGACACTCATGTGTAAAACTAATTAAAGTATAATACAGAAAATAGCCAAATATGGTTGGATGTGGTAAGAAAAACATAACGATATTTGCAGTCAAACGTATTTTACAAAAACTTTGTTAGTATTATATTACGCTTACGTAAATGTAGTAAGTGACCGCCAGGACGCTAGATTCATAGAATTCAGAAATATACTTATCCATGTGTATTGATTAATTAAGGAAGTGTATTTTGAGAAACTGTAGTTTATATTGTAGTTGAGCAAATACATTACATAATGATGATAAACCACCAAAGATATCTGTTTCCTGTAATTGTTAACTGACGGATTAGTTTGTAGCTTGTAAAACAGCGTTTGCTCGAAACGTCGCCAAGTAAATAAATTACTACCATGGTTGTTAAAGCGGATTTTTCTCTAAAAGTCTAATTTCTTTAAATTATATGTAAATAAGTATTCAATGTTATGGCTTTTCGAATCTTGTTTGTATTTTGAAAGTTTTTGCTAAAGTGGGTAATGTTGCTGTTTATTTGACTTTTCGAATCTTGTTTGTATTTTGAAAGTAGTTTTTGCTCAAATGGGTGACGTTTATCTGTTTTCCATAAATGTCGTCAGATATGTCGCTTACATTGCATTTGTTGGGTAAAACGTCTTTATATTACGTTCGGAAATCCACGTTGTCGTTACTATCTTGATTCATACTCACTGAATTTCGCATGCTGTGACACGTGATACACCTGCAAGTATATTATATTATAAAGATGTATAGATTATAGTTTATTGAACCCTGTTGGTGAGCACGATTTACTCATTGTGATAAAAAGAAAAACAAATCAATAAATTAAATTATATATCGTGACGTCACAATCCTAAAAAGGTTTATTTATCACTCTCCATCACTTTATGGAACATGACTTGCCGGCATTGTTTTTAAACTTTGAAATATTTGAGGAAGATTTACTATTCACGAAGCAGCGGAAAAATAAAAAAATCTCAAATGACATCATATTCCTGTTCGCCACAGTCAAGAATATCGGAAAAAACAATCTACAAAATTTCTACACATTGTAGAAACGATAATGTAGGTCAGATCGTGACCCAGCTACTAGGTCGTGCCATCCACATAAGCGTGATTCTCCCCCTAGTGTTTGATTTATTGAGCCAGGATATAATATATAACTCTCAGTTGTTGACTTATGACATTTATTCTTTCCATTTCACCTCTTATTCTTATATGAATGTCTGATTTCCCCCTAAAGTAAGATATTTTCAGAAACATAAATCTGTCGGTTTTAGGGTTTCTTGGGCTTAAAAAGGTGACATAATTTTCCTACTACGGAAAGTAGTGTGTTGAAATAAAGACTGGTCTTGATAAGCTTTTTCCTACTTAGCCCGAAAGGTGGAGACAATAAGGAAAGTGGCCCTAGAGGATACCCTGAAGCTAGCTGCCAATATGTTTTTGTTGATTAATGTGCTCTAGACTGATATAATAGCTACATCAAAACCTTACTTCCTGGGGCTGTGTAACTAACGGCCCCCGGACCTTATACACAACATTGTAATCATTTCCACGTTTTTTTTTAAAGCTAAAAAAATGCATATAGTCATCCATTTCACATTGTCCTATTCACATTTAACCCTACAACATGTGTATTAGTGAACAACAACAAAGTATAGTCTGACGGTACCATAAGTAAAGTGTCCTGTTGAATTTATAGTTAGATGGTATCTTAAGTAAAGTGTCCTGTTGAATATATAGTTAGATGGTATCTTAAGTAAGGTGTCCTGTTGAATTTATAGTTAGATGGTATCTTAAGTAAGGTGTCCTGTTGAATTTATAGTTAGATGGTATCTTAAGTAAGGTGTC